TGACTTTGCAGAGTGTCTTCTTCACGCCTTGAATTGCTGCCTGCGATGGCTCTCAGCAAGGACACAGCTGAGCTATTTTGGTCTCAGTGAATACTGTAGCTTTTGTGTCCTGTAGTGATGCCAAATGCTGTAAATGTGGCCTGACAAGGTCTTGGGTGCTTCCGGTGTAACAGAAGGCTGGCGGCTCCATCTGCCTGAGAAAAGTGGGTCGGATCTAAAGGAGTTTGTGTTCCACAACTTACTGTTTTCTGTTTCGGGTTGTGTAGTAGGGAGGTCACCCCAGCATGAGGTTAGGTCACAGTTGCTTTCCAGAGTGAAATGTTGTTGTTCATGAGATGGGTCCGTGTTAGAATTACTTAGAAGCTCAGCTCATAAACACTAAAAAGTGGCCGTATGGAAAATAGCTGGCACAGGATTTACAAAATCACCATTCGGTACAATTGAGAAAGCTGTGTGTGTGTGGAATTAAAGGCAGTTTATTGCCTGTTTATTGCTGTTTCTTGAGTTTCCAGAGCACTCACCCATGGAAAGTGTGATCTATTTTGAATACAGTGCCCCTTTTCCACTCTCTTTAGAGTAATGTCTATTGTGTCCCCAAGGAAGTGGGAGAATTAATGCTTATGGTAGAATTTAGTTTAAAGTAACTTTGTTTTATTTTACATGAACACACACACACACACACACACACACACACACACACACACACAGAGTCATGGATAAAGCACCACAAAGAGCAAAGTACATGACTTAAATAGTTTTGCTCATAAAAATGTTTTGGCTTGGTCTGACTGCTTTCTCTAGCGTGACCGTTAACTGTCGAGATGACACTGGGCAGGTTGGCATGTAAGCTAAGCCTCAGCTAAGAGTCGCAGGCATCAATCGGCTTTGCTGATTGTCTCTGAGCTACACACTAATAGTTTATTGGCTATAAATATATTTTATTACTAGACATTTGCTTGCTATAATGCAGAGCTGAAGGACTTAAACAACTCCGATGAGGTGCTAGGCATTTCAGAAAACTTGTTTTAGTTGTAATTCCTTCTGTAAGGCCTGCCCACAGAAGGCAGCACTGAGAAGGGGCTCAAGGACTCCCTTTTTTTCTTGTAATAATAATATTGCTTTCAAAACTTATTGATTCTTTGTGAATTTCACATCATGCACCCCCATTCCACTCATCTCCCCATCCCTCCATATCTGCCCTCTGCCCTTGCAGGATCCCCACAAAAAGAAAAGAAAAAAATTTCACCATGGAAGCCGTGGTATGTCATAGTGTGTCATGCAGTATACCCTATTGCCCATACGACTTTACTTGTAAACCTTCAATTTAATGAGTCACTGAACTGTTTTGTGGCTCCTGACTTCTGCTCCTCTACTGGATCCCGACTGGGACTCGTCTTAGATATCCTGCTGTTGACCTGGGTCATGGAGACCCTGTAGCTTTGGTTTTGCAGGACTGGCTCCTTCACATGCTCCAGCAGCTCAAAGATGGGGTAGATTTTGGGGTGGACCAACTCAAAGCCCTGTATCTGGCCTGGGTGATAGCTGAGTTGGTCAGCCCATGTGCTACCAGGACCAGCTCTTCCACTTTGCCCAGGTGAGGGGTAAAGTCAGCTCTCCTAACTGTGGTAACTGACAGAGGGTGGGCAAATATGTTAGAGCTAATAATCATGGTTTTCTAGATCTAATGGGCTTATAAAATATATGTTAAAGCAATTGACTAAATAAAATCCATGCCAAGGCATTTCAAGAAGTTTCTGGATGCTTCTTGAAAACGTTACCCTATGCACAGACTGAAGGACACAAAACCTTTAGACTGTAGAACAGAGGACACTGAGCAAGGCTAAAGAATGATGAAGGAAAGTTTCCAAACACCCAACTGAACTATTAATGAAACATAAGCACAGAACAGTGACATTTGCAGATATGTAAATTACAGTGAGTTATATTCCAGTCTCCCCATTCTCAGAAAGTACCTGGTGAATGTGTGCCACCAAATTGAGGAAGTGAACTGAAAAAGGGGAAGATGTGATTCTAGTGCCATGGGGGTCAAAGGGAAAGTTTAGGTTGATCGTGAAGAGGGTACCAGGAAGGCCTGTGGATGGAGGAAGACAAACATCTCGATGATGCTGAGTTCAAGGGTAAAGACGTAATTGGTGCATCATGTCATGTTTGACCATACAATGACCTGTTGGCAAATTTTGTGATTGCTGAATAAAAGGTCATTAACATTTTGAAAAAGGAGAAGACGAGACACAAAATACAATCAGATGTAATCATGGTAACTGTGTAGCTTAGCAGCAAACAATAGTAACATAAAAAGCAGGATAATCAAAGCAGAAAGCACCTATTTAAATGGGATAAGTGTGTGTGTGTGTGTGTGTGTGTGTGTGTGTGTGTGTGTGTGTGTGTGTGGTGAAGCAAGAGTATTTGTTTCATCTTCCAGATCTTGTCTGACTTAGAAAACCAAAGGAATACTACTATGAACAGGAATATCGGAAGCATTGGTATAAATCACTTCAAGACTTGCTTTTGGGGGTAAGTGTGAGAAAAGAGGGGGGTAGCTAAAGCTTTTCTAACAAAATGTGACTCTTAGGTTGTGGAATGGGTGGCGGGCAGAGCTGGTCCCATTGTGCTGCTGCTCTATGTGGCCTGCGGTCCCTGGTCGCTGGCCATGGAGCAGGGATACAATGGCACTGTCGCATCTGGTCCTGCGGCCACCTTCAAGGGCTGGTCCCAGACACCTGCAGCCTGTGTCCTGGCCAGGTGGAGCAGCTGCTGCCCCACCAGTGCTCGTGGTAGCAAGACATCCTCATCTTCTGCAGTAAAACCTATCACAATGTGCTGGTTCTGGATGGTGTCACCCAGTGTCGTCTCAGAGAGGGACAAGTTCTCCTTCCAGGAGATGATCGCCAACCTGCCACTCTGCAGTCACCCCAACCCATGGGAGACACTGATCATTGGGGTGGAGATGAGGGTGTCCTACAGGAAGTGGTGAAGCACCCCTCTGTGGAGTCTGTAGTCCAGTGACAGAGTGATGAAGATGTTACTGAAGACTGTAAGAGTTCCTGACTGGCACAGTCATCTGGTACTCCAGCTCAAAGCTAACCCTCTATGTGGGTAATGGCTCTGAGTTCATGAAACAGAACCAAGATGCCTTTGACATCATCATCGACTCCTCAGATCCCATGAGCTCCACTGAAAGCCTCTTCAAGAAGACCTATTCCCGGCCTCATGAAGACAGCACTCAAGGAGAAAGGCATCCTATGTTGTCAGGGCGAATGCCAGTGGCTGCACCTGGACCTCATCAAGGAGATGAGACACTTCTGAAAATCTCTCTTCTCTGTGGTAGGCTATTCCTACTGGATCATTCCCACCTATCCAAGCAGCCAGACTGGCTTCATGTTGTATAGCAAAAACTTGAGCACCAACTTCTGTGAGCCCATGTAGGAGTTCACATAGGCCCAGGTGTGAGCAGATGCTGCTGAGATACTTTAACTTGGACATGCACTACACAGCCTTTGGGCTGCCTGAATTCACCCACAAGACTCTGGATGACATAAGCAGAGCCTAGGTGCCACTGCAACACCATTCATGACCTCAATCAGACTGGATCAAGGAGCTTCCAAGGTGTTTGGGGCCCCACCAGCCCCGGACCAGACTCCCAGATGACTCTTGCCCACCAGCCAAGTGTTACAGTCCCAAGAATGCTACCTGGCCTGCCCTGCTGGGTGGACACAGTCTCTGTGTCTGTCTATCTCTGTGACGGTTTGCACCAAGTCTATGCCAGCTTGTACAGCACTGTCTATACCCTCTATCACCCAGCAAAAGAACACATGTATTTATAACAAGCTCAAAATTTTTTGACTCTTGTACAGGTTTTACTTTGATGAACAATTAAAATTTACTTCCTTCCATCCCAATCCCCTATGTATATATACTAAAATATATCTAATATATGATCTATATTATTATATCGATATATATTAAAGCTATAATATATACATAAATAATTACTATTTTAATATATATTAAAATAGTGAATGCTGTGATATTTTTGTGTATTTCTTCATTTTGCAGAGGTGCTGTTGCATGTCTGACTTGTGTCTTTGGTCACTCCTGTTAGACTCTTTCCGTGTTTTTAATGTTTCACCTTTTAAGACTCTGTGTGTGATACGATGTGCTTCCCAACCCACTTTTGTGTTTTCTTTCCTTCATTTGGCTTAGTTTCTTCATATGTATTGTGAGAGGAGTAGATAGTCATCCTTTATGCCCTTTTTACCCTGTGTTGAGATGGCCATCCAGAACCAGTCATTAACAGTGACATTGACTGACACCTAACCTGGTAAAGTGAAATGGTTTATTGACATTGGCAGTTTTAATAGAATAATTAATAAACAAAATTAGTACATTTTAGGAGGCCTCTTTGTTGTTGCTTTGTTTTACTCCAAAGGACAGAACTCTGGTTTCTGTGCAGGCTTAGCCAGTACACATTTCTTGACACAAGACTTGCCCAGGCTGGTCTTGAACTCACTGTGAAGCTCATGCTGGTCTCAAACTTGGAACTTGCAATCATCCTGCCCCAGTCTCCCAAATCCTGGGATTGCATTGTGATGTCTATGATATGTTGTATGGACATTACGTATAGCTTTCTTGGTGTCTTTTAATGTTCTGTCCACATTTGTTTTGTCTGTATGAGGTCAGAGCTAATGACACTCTCACTGATCTTGTGGTGAGTAACCTTGAAGACTGTAACCAAAATAACTTCAAAAACCTGAGTGTGCCATGTGGCCATCTAACAGCTGGGTTAGAGACACTAGGAGTCTGGAGGAGTTGTATAAACCGTGCTCCGATGGCCATTAATGCAGCTGACAAGTGTGAGTGGACCAAGGGGACTCCTTTAATGCTTAGGTGGAGTGAGAACTTGAGATTGCCATGTGCTTTCTCCTGTAAAACTCAAGCTGTAGCTGTAATGGTTCTGTCTGCCCTCTCTCTGCACACAGGGAGCGAACAGAATGAGAAGCCGGCTGGGAAGCGTGGACAGCTTTGAAAGGTCCAACAGCCTTGCTTCAGAAAAGGTATCTAGTCATAATTCTCCAGTTCACCCAATACTTCGGCTTAGCCAAGGCCATGGGAAAGAACACATGCTAATTATTTTGTGGTGAGATTTTTTTTGTAAATGGCCTTTAAGAAAGAAATACTTGATACTCTGTTGTTTCAAATAAGATTCTGGGTATTACCAATTTATTTTTCACCCACTAGGTTCCCTTCTGTTGGGACAGGGGACAGTGCACCCTTCAGTGACTAACTCTGCTCTTATGTGTTGCACTGAATATATTATTTGAGCAACTGTTGATAAAGCCAAACAAAATGAAACACCCAATTAACACCCCCACACACACTATCAGGGACGTCAACCCCCATCTTGTTGTTATTCTTCTCTGTTACTTCTTTTCCTCTTTTTTTTTTTTTTGTTTTTCCTTCATTTCAGCTGTAACACCATCCTCTTCTGTGTCACAGACAGCCCGAGAGAGGGTTTCCTGTTTCCTGTTTTCTGCAATAGGCAACTAGGGACACCATCAACCTTTGTTGTCCTAGTAGGAAAACACAAAAGTATTTTTTTTATTAAAATTTTGTTGGCACCAGAGACCTAGTCCAGCGAAGTGTCTTATCCGTAGGGCTTTGCCAGATGGTTTATTTACTGTGGTGCATACCTGACAGGATTGTAAGATTTATGTCGTCTCTGCACCGGGTGGGAGAGGCATTCCAGAGGGCTCCCTTTTGCTCATTTCCTGTTTTTCATGTCTTTGAAAAGCAACTTACCACAGGGACCATGCCACTGGGCAGAAACATCCAGAGTGCAGGAAGATAATTCACAGGCTTTACTTTACTTTCCCAAAAGCTTTGCTCCAAGCCCCAGGCATTAGGGCACTATGATAGTGTTTTGACATTGCTGGAAACATGCAGAGCCACAGGTCACAGAGGTTAGGAGATCCCTGAACAAGGCTTTTCTGTTATGGCCCCTTCATTTCTCTGGGAACAAAGGGAAGAGTACAGTAGCCCTAGCTTTTCACCACAGCCCGCCCTCAGGGGAAGGGTACCTTTGGTTGGCCTTTCACTTTCCTGCCTATCTTCCTGACACCTGCTTATCAGCAGCAGCGGCTTGTGGTGAAACAGACAGATTAGTCTTCAGCACGGTTGAGTAAAAAGAAAAACAAAACAGTTTTGTCATGAGTCAGGAAGAGGGTTCCTCTGTCACTGCTCAGCCCTGGGTATCTGTGTGTCTGTTGTGAGCCTGGTAGGGGCAGACACCTCCCTGTTTCTGTTGTAGGACTTCTCCCCAGGGGACTCTCCTCCGGGGACACCACCAGCCTCCCCTCTGTCCTCTGCCTGGCACTCCTTCCCCGAGGAAGATTCTGACTCTCCACAATTTCGAAGACGGGCTCACACCTTCAGCCACCCACCTTCAAGTTCAAGGAGGAAGCTGAACTTGCAAGATGGGAGGGCTCATGGCCTAAGGTCCCCTCTACTGAGACAGAGTTCCAGCGAGCAATGCAGGTAGGTCCTAGCTTGTCTGCCACCATGGGACAGCATAGTCTAATGTCATTGTGTTTGGGTCAGTTTAGAGTCACTGTGGGTTATATTTCATGCTTTAAGCCAGATTTTTGGGTTCAGAAGGAGCAGAAAAGCAAGAAATGCATTTTGTTTTCCTCAATGAGGTAAGGTTAAGATATACCCTGAAAAATTCTAAGATATTTTAAATGGAAGCTTTTAATTTTTATTTTTTGCTTCACCAAAAAAAAATAGAGAAAATATGGCATGTAGTCATTTTGCCTGGAAATGTATTGGCACACATTATGTCTTGCCTTTTTTAATGCTGGCTCTGAGGAAGTTGTCAGCATAAATGGTCAAGCCTAGAGCCTCTTGTCAGCCTGCAATAATATCTCAGGTTAAGGAGTCATATAAGTTCCCTTCATTTGGAGACAATATTTGGCTGTGTTTTACTACATAACAAATGAAAGCCAAGTGTGACAACTACCACACATTTTTGCCTAAAACTAACTGTATCTACAAGGGACACTATATAGTTGCAGGCATTGTCCATTAGAGTGACCTTAAATAGTATAAAAAATAATTTAAGAAAATTGCTTGTTGTCAGGCATCAGCTAATTTTACTCCTCTTTCTTCCCTGTGTGTTTCATGTGGACAGCGGGGTTGCCTATCCGTGTGTCAGGGACATTAATAAAACCGACTGAAAGTAGAACGTCTTGTAAAACGGCCAGTGTTAATATGAAGTGTTACCAGATTTGCTTTCATGTTTTACATGTTGTACTCTCATGATACAGTTTTCATTGCTGTTTTCTGATTGATTTGAATGCTAAAATCCAAGTAGACTTTAAAACACACAGGTTAAAGAAAGTCAGAGCAGTTGTCTTCAGATCTTATGTGTATGTGGAGATTAAGTGTTCATAAGAAAACCAAGATTTTACAAATAATGATTTCTCTTATTTTTACCCAAAACAATAAATTTCTTCCCCCTCAAGAGGAAATTATTGTCAAGGTGCCAATCACTTTGAATTGTAAATGATGTCCCTCTCAATTCTTACCCATGTGTTATATCATATATATTCCAATAATTTTTTATCACCATCAGTATAAAAAAGATGCCAATTATGGTCAATAAAAGCATTCTACACTACCAACCCCTTTTTTGCTTTAAAAAAAAGCCACGTGGGAGACTCAGTGCTTTGGATGAACAGTGCTACAGGTCCACACAGGAAATACCCTGAATCTAATGTTTGGTAAGCCAGAGATAGTGTGTATGATTAGTGACATCAGCCCAACATTTTGCTCACAACACATTCAGAAGGGATTTGTATCTCTAGAATAGTTGATCTTTGCACTATTCATGATCAGTTTACCCTCTGGAAATTGCTTTCCTGTAACTGTTTGTGTTTTCCTACCCGGGCTATAAGTTTGTTTTGCACCCAAACATTCTTTTTGCTCTGAAAGTGTTAAGAAATACATCTTGTGAGCTGGTGAAGCATCAGTGTAGCCCTAAGTACAGGACTGCATGCTCCTGTCCTTAGACTCTGTGCAAGCTCCAGGTCGAAGGCTTTCGGGCAAAGAGTAAATGAATAGCAAGAACCTATTTCTATGCCTTTTCTTAGTAAATGAAGATTGTGCTAAAAATTAAATTTTAAGACAAATCTGCTGTGTTTTCTGTACTCAGCATTCTCCCGTCAACCCGACGCATGTACAAGGAGAGTAACTCTTCCTCCAGCCTTCCAAGCCTTCACACTTCCTTCTCTGCCCCTTCCTTCACTGCCCCCTCTTTCCTGAAAAGCTTTTACCAGAATTCAGGTAGACTGTCCCCACAGTATGAAAATGAAATCAGGTGAGATGGGTGTGCTGTTTGCAAAGCGCCATTTTCTCCAGTGATGCGTTGCTAATGCTACTAAGAAGTGGCTGGTTGACGTTAGAGCCAATTTTGTGCGTCTCTGTGCTTGTTTTAATCTGCTTCTAATGTATTGACCTTGATTCTAATTAATTTGATTAATAAAAATAATTAGAACTTGTAGTTACAAAGCTTTCTCGTGATTTGATTATATCTTTTTGAATTAAGTTTTTATCTAATAAATGCTGTTATTTGCTGCCATCCCAGAATCTAAACTTGGTGTTGTTGGGAACAGAATCTGGTATCATGTAGTAAGAAGACATTCCTTAGTCTTGCTTCTGTTGTTTCAGTCTCTGGGTACATATCTTGGCACCCTAAAGCAATTAACAGGATAGGTGCGGTATCTGTAAGTACATTGCATATCTCTGAGAAATTTCTTTGATTTTTCTCAATGAATGGTTTATGCTCTGAGACTCACTGTATGCTTCTGAGTCACAGCATCTCCAACACTGTCCTCTCACAGTCACAGCATCTCCAACACTGTCCTTTCCATCTCAGCATCTCCAACACTGTCCTCTCCATCTCAGCATCTCCAACACTGTCCTCTCACAGTCACAGCATCTCCAACACTGTCCTCTCCACCTCAGCGTCTCCAACACTGTCCTCTCCATCTCAGCATCTCCAACACTGTCCTCTCCATCTCAGCATCTCCAACACTGTCCTCTCCACAGTCACAGCATCTCCAACACTGTCCTCTCCACAGTCACAGCATCTCCAACACTGTCCTCTCCACCATCTCAGCATCTCCAACACTGTCCTCTCCACCATCTCAGCATCTCCAACACTGTCCTCTCACAGTCACAGCATCTACAACACTGTCCTCTCACAGTCACAGCATCTCCAACACTGTCCTCTCCATCTCAGCATCCCCAACACTGTCCTCTCCATCATCATAGCATCTCCAACACTGTCCTCTCACAGTCACAGCATCTCCAACACTGTCCTCTCACAGTCACAGCATCTCCAACACTGTCCTCTCCATCTCAGCATCTCCAACACTGTCCTCTCACAGTCACAGCATCTCCAACACTGTCCTCTCCACCATCTCAGCATCTCCAACACTGTCCTCTCCACAGTCACAGCATCTCCAACACTGTCCTCTCCACCGTCTCAGCATCTCCAACACTGTCCTCTCCACCATCTCAGCATCTCCAACACTGTCCTCTCCACAGTCACAGCATCTCCAACACTGTCCTCTCCATCTCAGCATCTCCAACACTGTCCTCTCCACAGTCACAGCATCTCCAACACTGTCCTCTCCATCTCAGCATCTCCAACACTGTCCTCTCCATCTCAGCATCTCCAACACTGTCCTTTCACAGTCACAGCATCTCCAACACTGTCCTCTCCATCTCAGCATCTCCAACACTGTCCTTTCACAGTCACAGCATCTCCAACACTGTCCTCTCCATCTCAGCATCTCCAACACTGTCCTCTCCATCTCAGCATCTCCAACACTGTCCTCTCCATCTCAGCATCTCCAACACTGTCCTCTCCATTTCAGAATCTCCAACACTGTCCTCTCCATCGTCTCAGCATCTCCAACACTGTCCTCTCACAGTCACAGCATCTCCAACACTGTCCTCTCCATCTCAGCATCTCCAACACTGTCCTCTCACAGTCACAGCATCTCCAACACTGTCCTCTCACAGTCACAGCATCTCCAACACTGTCCTCTCCATCTCAGCATCTCCAACACTGTCCTCTCACAGTCACAGCATCTCCAACACTGTCTTCTCCATCTCAGCATCTCCAACACTGTCCTCTCCATCTCAGCATCTCCAACACTGTCCTCTCCATCGTCTCAGCATCTCCAACACTGTCCTCTCACAGTCACAGCATCTCCAACACTGTCCTCTCACAGTCACAGCATCTCCAACACTGTCCTCTCCATCTCAGCATCTCCAACACTGTCCTCTCCATCTCAGCATCTCCAACACTGTTCTCTCCACAGTCACAGCATCTCCAACACTGTCCTCTCCATCTCAGCATCTCCAACACTGTCCTCTCCATCTCAGCATCTCCAACACTGTCCTCTCACAGTCACAGCATCTCCAACACTGTCCTCTCACAGTGACAACATCTCCAACACTGTCCTCTCCACCATCACAGCATCTCCAACACTGTCCTCTCCATCTCAGCATCTCCAACACTGTCCTCTCCACAGTCACAGCATCTCCAACACTGTCCTCTCCATCTCAGCATCTCCAACACTGTCCTCTCACAGTCACAGCATCTCCAACATTGTCCTCCCCCATCTATTCCTCAGAGGGTGTGAGGTCTCCCATGGGGGATCATCAAAGTTTGTCACATCATTTGGAGCAGGCCCTCCCTCCTGTATCTAGGCTAAGAGAGTATCCCTCCATAGGGAATGGCCTTATAGATTTCCCAAGCTCCCTAACTGACACCCATGTTCAGGGTCCCTAGTTCGGTCTTATGCAGGTTCCCCAGCTGTCAGTCTGGAGTCCCTGAGCTCCTACTTGCTAAGATCAGCTGTTTCTGTGGGTTTCCCTAACATGATCTTGATGCCTTTGTTCACCCCTCCTCCCTCTCTACAATGGACTTGACTCAGTGCTTAGATGTGGATCTCTGCTTCTGCTTCCACCAGCTACTGGATGAAGGTCCAATGATGGCATTTGAGGTTCTCATCAATATCATTATAAGGGAAGGTCATTTAAGGTAGCCTCTCCACTATTGCTTAGATTCTTAGCTGGGGTCATCATTGTGGACTCCTGGGAACTTTCCTAGTGCCAGGATTCTAGTTAAGCCCATAACAGCTCTCTATCAAGGTATCTCTCTCCTTGCTCTCCGCTGTTCTTCCCCCAACTTGACCTTACTGGTCCCTCATGTTCTCCTCTCTCTCCCCTTCTCCCCTCTTCTCTCTTCAACCTCCCAACCCAACCCCCAAGCTCCCAATCTTGTCCCTTTCTCCTTCTCAGCTTGTCTATGTATGTCTCTCTTAGGGTCCTCCTTGTTTCCTAGCTTCTTTGGGGCTGTGGATATTAGACACAGAGCAAAGGATAACCAGCCTACAATCCACAACCCCCCAACTCTTTTAATTTAGTAGCCTAGAGTCTATAGGTCTGAAGTACGGTTTGGGAATACAAAACCTTAAACTGTTTTCATTGAAAAGCACATCAACCTTAATGCACAGACCAGTGGCTCACCAAGGAGAGATCATCCTGTTGCTTCTCCCCAGGCCATAAATGGAAGGGTACCAGAAGCCTGCTGGCAACCATCATCTCCTGGGTCATTACTGCTCCTGACAGAGCAGATCCGGGTTTTTCTACTTTTGGATTCACTATAAATGGGATGATGGAACATCCTCTATTTCTGAATCTGTTTTCTGTTAACACTGATTTGTGAGATTCATTCCTGGTTTTAGGCACACTTCAGTGTGTTTAGTTTTATTGTTACATAGTATATTACTTAATATATCCCAGCCCTTCTGTGATCTTATGAATAGACAGGTGGTTATAGGATTTTGGTTTCTTAGAGTGCTGTTGTGGCAATTATTGTATATATTATAAATTATATATACATATGTATCATTAATGGATACCTACACAGTGAAAATATTGGACAAAATGTATATTCTTAGGTTTATTCAGCTAACAAGTCACTTAGACATAAATATATTACTTAACAACCTTGAAGAGAATATATTTTTTATTTTGAAATAATACCAAAAAATTATAGAAAATTATAAAATACTAAAGGATTCCTTTAATCCTTTATCTTGATTAGTCAACTTTAAACACTTGCTACATTTGCTGTTAATGTATACATTTACAAGGCTCTCTCTATGCACATGCATATGTGTATTCTTCAACCTAGGCTGTGGTGCTTGTGTTACATCCTTTGCTATTAGTACATCAGGGTGTCTGTTCCAAGAATGATGGCATTCAAAAGCATGCTTTTAATTCAGTGGCTTCTGAACTCTACATCTTTCAGTTTTTATAGAGAGACTATCATGTACATACAATTACTATGATATCTTCAACTATTCCTAATGATGAAGGAAGTATATAGTATTACCACCTATAATTTTCCTGTTACTTGGGAACATAATATCTTTCTAACTACAAAATGAATCTCTAAATATTCAAAGTCAAGCAAGAATAGGATATAGCAGGCTACTGTCCTATATTATTACAAGTCTACTGTCCTGTATTATTAAGTCATGTGAGCATACTAAGAAAAAGGAGCCAAGGTCTTTTGAATGCCACAGTTTCTTGACTGATAGAGTCTTTTGCACAGATTTGAAATTACAAAGGAAAAGTAGTAAGTGTATTTTTATTATTAATACCTTAATTCAAATTAGTTTTTGAAAGCTGAACATTATTTTTCTTGGTAGCTAAGTCATAATTGTGCCTGATGATTCATATTTTTATAATGTATATTCACCAAATATGTTATTTCCTTTCCAGCAACAGACTTCTTTGTTGGTGAGGAGTTGTTTCTCAAGCATTAAGCTTATGTTTAAAAATTATTTATATTGAAGTTTGTTGCTCAAAGTAAATGGTTATTTTTAAAAGTGATACTTATTACTTCTATTCTCTTATAAAAATTTTAATAAAAAGTAAGGTATTGCTGATAAAGTATTTGAGGTATAGTTTTGATTTTATATTTCACTTGTATTCATTTTAAATATAATTATTTACTGTGGCTCACTGTTGAGTTAATTTGCCTGTGATGAATCGATAACGTATGGTAATGCATTTTATTTTAAGTCCTGCTTTGGGACAATTATCTGTCTTTGTGCTAATGACGTTCTTGTTTTCCTGTTACTAGACAGGACACTGCTTCAGAATCAAGGTGACTAACACTCTAAACACTTCATTTAGTAAATCTTCAGATTTTCCGGTGGATAGCCACTTCGGTTAAAGATGCAATTTTCGTTGTCTTCTGAATGCATGCTGTCATTCTGCATTCCCAGAGGGCTGTGTGTATGGAAATGTGCCCTGTGGTGTAATCAGAGATCACGGAGAACCATGTGAAATGTAATTGCAAGCTCAAGTCCTGTTTCTACTCTATTCTGTATTGAAATTCCTTTAAAGCTGAGGTCTCCAAGAAAATGCTAACTGAAATTTAAAGTTCCAAAAGTATATTAGCTGATTGAGAGATATTAATGTGCAGATGAGGAGTTTTTTTTCCTTCTGATCCAGGGAGATAGAGAAATGAGCATCTTTGAGGAAGCACACTGATGCAATGGGATCTGGGGATGGACACTGTCTGTTCCTACTCATAACTATTGCCATATTGGTTTCTGTGAGACACTGCTAATACCTTACAGATGTCGCATTGGCCACAGTCAAGAAAACACCACATTTCTGGCTATGGATGAGAATGGTTGTGGTGACGCCTATCGCTGGAGGAACACTCACTTTCTCTGGAAAACACCCAGAGTGGTATAACCAGTGTCACTACGAGCAGCTGTTCTCTGCCTTTCAACTTCCCACACTTTGCTTTCACTACCAGTCTCCCGAGAATACGTGCCCATCTCCAAGCCAAAAAACCTAATACTTTGATTTCTTTGTAGTTGCAATAAAGGTATTAAAGATTGCATGGCGATGAGCTATTCAGGGTCAGAAACAAAAACATCTTCAGAGAATCATTTGGCCATGATGCTAAGTTAAAGCGACTCTTCTGAGAGTTATCACTGATGGCACTGCTTTTGGTAGTTATATGTGTGATCACTTACAGACTATTTCTTCCATTTCAGAAGTCTTACAGAGAAATGAGAGCATAGTTCAGTGCAGCGTGTAACATGAACCAGACTATGAGTTTAAGTTCTAGAACTGAAAAAAGGAAAAAAATGCTTTAAGCTTAAGTGTTTTGCCTTGTGTCCTTTGGGTTTGGACATTGTCTAGCCTACATTTTTTTAACGTGATATTAGACTGGTTCTGGGAGAGGCTGTATATTTTATTAGGTATGGTTTTACTTATCTTATATTTCAGGCGCATATGAATAAACACATAACCTACCCAGAGACATTTTAAATCCAACGTACAAAGCATTTTCTCACTATCTGCATTCAGCATGTAGAGTTTAGGGTATAGAGCTATTCGTTTGTCTTCTTTTTTCCCTGTGTGTTGTTCCACTGACTAATCTCTCACGTTTGGTTCACACTCAGATACTATAGTGATTTCCGCTAGGGTGATGGAATCTTAGTTCTATTTAGTAAAGATTTTCCATAGCACGACACATGTTTGCCCAGTTGAAAGCCAGAACTTTCACACACTGGTAGTGCTGCTGATGCAGTTATAAATTAGCGAGGACTGTGGGTTGTGTAGGAAAGAACTAAGGTTTCATCAGTTTGCTGTCCCATGCAGCCTTCTTAAGACATTCATGGAAGGGATGCTTTTCAGTTTTTGTTGAATTGCTGCTTTTAGATTAGTGAAGTTTTGTTATTTCTCTCGACTTGTAATGCACTGTGATTTAGATGGAGATTTTGTCAGAAGGTAGTCACGATTTGAACTTTAGGAGTCATGGTTTGTTGGGTGATAGGAGGTGGAGGAGAGCCAGGCGATGGTTTGCTGCTCAGTGGGATATGCTGTACATCCGGCAAGAGAATTTATCTTAGTGCAAAATGGACCTGTCTTGCCTTAGTAGGAAAATTGTCATCAGCACACATTCATTCCATGCCGTGCCCAGTAGATTTAGTCTTATCAAAATAAGCAAGTGTGTCACAAAATTTCTGTGTTCACAGGAGCCCAACGTTAACAGTAGCTGATGTTCAGGACTGCACCTGCTTGCTCAAGGGTATACCAAAACAGCATCTTCAAGCACTCGTTATCACATCCTATCCATAGTTTAATTAGTACTGTGTGCAGAGTACCTGGAGCTCGCTTCTCAGCCCAGGTGGTGTGATACACACAGAATAACCCCCCCCACAACTAAATTCCTTACATTGCTCACGAATTGTGGCTCTTGATTAATTGGTTCCTAGTAGTAGGAAGTATGCAAAGAATGTACTAAACTCCCAGTGGTTGTACACTCTCCAAGCTGTACTTCCTTCCCAGGTATTCATTTTTAATTTCACAAATTTCTGATAGAGGAAGTGCCGGCATGGATGCTTTTCCTGACTATATCCTATGAAGCACTTTATACTGCACATGTTTACATTATCAGCCACAAAAGGAGGTGGTCTGGGATTATATGGAAAATAAGGGAAAATATGGACACACTGTGTCTGCATGTATGTATAATCTCCCATAGTAAGATATTTTCACTTCAGCCTATTTAAATGAGCATATACATTTTTAAATTGCATTTATTGCAAAGCAAAGTAGTGAGACATTTACATAACAAAGTTGCTTATGGTGTTTTGAAGTTAATTCTCTGCTGGAATAAATTTCTCAAAAATTGGAAAGGGCCTATCAAAGGATTTCATGGTCACTGAAGACTTGATTTTTTTCCCTGCTAAAAGAGCAAAAGATGAGTAGATCTCTGACAGTTGTTTGTGAAGACCCCAGAGCTTTGTAGGAACTGATACAAAGATCATAAATGTTTTCACAGTAAACCATAGTGGTTTGAGGATCAAGACTGTGGACTGCCTGGCTCTATCCCCTCATTGCCACAGAAATGAGCAGGTTACTTAGCCATTTTCTAGTTAGGGTTTCTCACAATCGATGGAAATTTATAACACCCACCTAAGGCAGCTACTATAAAGATGAAACCTGCTGTGCCTGGAGCTGTTCAGGACAGTGCATAGTATGTGGTGTGTGTCCTCTGCCTTCCTCAGTATCCTCACTGTTGCCGTGGACACCACAAGCAGCTTAGGTCTGATGTTATACTTGTTCTAAATCTTAAGTTTTATAAGGACATCAAAGTGAAAACTGACATAGTTAAGGCAAAAAGACAAATGAGAAACTAAAAAAAAGTTCTTCGTCATCTCCATCCTACAAATATCCAGCATCCCACATCAGAACGTAAGTGTATCATGGTACACTGTTTCCTACAGTTTCAGTTCCCTGAGTGTTCACTTTCACCATGCAATCTTCGACCACATGCTGGCCAGACAGTGGGCCGGTGTAAGTCGCACATGCACACCACCTGGCTAAGGTTTTCCCTAGGAGCTGCCTTCCAATTGCACTTACAGTGACATGCATTTCTTCTCTTATTAAGTGAAACAGGGCAGCTTCCAGCTCACCTCAGCAACAATGGGCTTTTGCAAAGTGAGGCTTTATCTATGAGCAGAGGGGGTCCATAGTCTTCTATGCACATTTCATTCCTGTATTATTGACACACTTCTACACCACTGAATTTTGACAATTGAGTTCCAGATATGGATGAAAAATGTGTCATCTGGCAGTTTAAAGTTTTCAAATGTGTACTAGTGGGCTAATTGCAGGGTACTTTTATAATATAGCTGCCATAAGGGTTGCATTTGACAGACAACAATGAAACTGATCCCAGTCCTATTCACTTTTGTTTTCAATAGTTAGATCTTTCAGTATTTTCCTCGTCCATTTTACTTAGACTTCTACATAATGCCCATATAGTCTATGACTATTAGTAGAGTTCTTGCTACTGACTGTTTCCCACAAGAAGTCAGTACTAGACCTATGAACCAAGTGATGAGCAAGTAACTCCAGCAAGGCAGCATTACAGAAATTTAGATAAGGAAAACTCCATGAATATTCATCAGGACAGATAGAGAATATGTGAATCAAAAATACTGAATGGGAAATACTTGAACTATGGCTTCCCCAAGCTGATTTACAGGTGAACTTTTCAGTATCCCAGGGAGTTTTGAACATTGGTCACCAGGGAGGTTGTCACCTTATTCAGGATACATGCCAAAGATGAGAGTGTATGAGATGCATGAATCAGCTACTTCCTAAAATAAGACAGCCAGATGCTTGGAAAATGCAAGTTAGCTCATTTTTATTGTCATTTGTCACCCAGAAGTACTTCTAGGAGAGTAAGTCCAGATTAGAAATAACTGTTCTTGAGGCTAGAGATGTAGCTCATTTGGTTGAGTACTTGTCCTGCATTCATGAAACCCTGAAGTCTGTTCTGTTGTATCATGTGAGCTGGGCATAGTGTTGCACACTTGTAACATTCAGTAGGTAGAGTCAGAAATTCAAGATCATCCTTGGTTACATTACGAGTTTGAGACCAGTCTGGGCTACATGAGTAGTTACCTAAAAACCAAACAAAAAACCAAACAAGCAAAATTAGGAGGTGGAGAATGAAGAGGAAGAGGGAATAATGGGGATAAGAGAGAGGAGAAGAAGGGAAGAACGGAAGGAAGGAAGGAAGGAAGGAAGGAAGGAAGAGAGAAACCAGCAGCAGCATTTCCTGATAACCTTATGTGCAGATATACAGAGTAACTGCAAGGGAAAATATAGCGGGCACCTTGGAAGTCCTCTCCTCATGTTAACTACCTCAGTACATTGACCTCTGAACATCCGAGACCCAGTGACTTTTTTAGTTGAGCATTGTTTCTGAGCTAAGACTTTTTTGGGCATTGCTTCTTGTGAATACTGCTATATTCATCATTGTCCTAGGATAGATAAAAGATTACAAAACTTCAAAATGTAAAATATTCTTTCCTCCACCAGCAGCCACCATTGTCACATGGTCTTCCAAGTGCAAACAGAGTTGGTCTCAAAGGTAACTTTGAGTCATTCTGACCTTCATCTGTACATAGCCTAGCAAATGCAGAAGTGTCTTTTCTTTAAAAACAAAGTTCTTCTAACAGAACAGGGTTTCTTTTTTTTTTCCTTTTCCCCAGGTACTGGGATTAAAAGCATGCACCACCACACTCAGATGAAACAATTTTTTTTAAGTGAAACCTTAATTGTGATATGCTGTAGTTTTCTTTTTTATAATTATTGTTATTTTTTATTTAGGTTAGAAACAATCTTGTTTCACATGTCAATCCCAGCTTCCTCTCTCTCCCCTACTCCCCCGCCCTCCCCACCAGGTCCCCCAGTCCCCTACCCCTAATCTCCACTCCGATCCCCAAGGAGGGTGAGGCACTCCATGGTGTAACTCCAGTAACTGTCATTTCATCCAGGGCAGGGCCTAGGCCCTCCCCAAAGAGGCCCGACTGAGAGAGCTTCCCATAATGTGGGATGGACACTCAAAGTCTATTTGTACACCAGGGGTAAATACTACCCAAGGCCCCATAGATTACCTAGGCCTCCTCACTGACACCCACATTCAGGGGATCTGGGTCAGTCCCATGATTTCCACACAACCATCAATCTGGGGTCTAAGAGCTCCTCCTTGTTCAGGTCAGCTGTTTCTCTGGATTAAACCAGCCCACTCTTAACTCCTTTGCCCATCAGTTCTCTCTCTCTGACACTGGATTCCAGGAGTTCAGTTCAGTGTTTGTCTGTGGGTATCTGCCTCTGCTTTCATCAGTCGCTGGATGAAGGTTCTGTTTCCTAGACTCTCTGGCAGTGGGATTGTATGCTGGCACTCCCCTGATTCGTGTCTAAAATCCATAAATGAGTGAGTACATACCATGTTTCTCTTTTTGTGACTAGGTTACCTCATTCAGGATAGTTTCTTCTAGTGCCTTCCATTTGCCTGCAAATTTCAAGATTCCATTGTTTTTTTCTGCTGAGTAATACTCCATTGTGTAAATGTACCACATTTTCTCTATCCACTCTTCAGTTGAGGGGCATCTAGGTTGCTTCCAGGTTCTGGCTATTACAAATAATGCTGCTATGAACATAGTGGAACAGGCATCCTTGTTGTATGAATGTGCATCAGAGTTTCTAAATGTGAGTTTCACAGAGCCCCAAGGTACAGTGATGAGACATTCCTCCCACCCAAAGGTTAGGGATCTTAAGTCACGTTTTTTAAAACAAAGTTGGATAATATCTGTCCACTGTCCCTGATGGGGAATCTCAGTGCACACCAGCATATTAAACCATATTAAAGTCATGTTTCACACAAATCTAGTCAACCTTTTTCTTTCTTTCTTTCTTTCTTTCTTTCTTTCTTTCTTTCTTTCTTTCTTTCTTTCTTTCTTTCTTTTTTTTTTTTTTTTGAGGAAACTCTCACTGTGTAGCTCTATCTAACCTGCTGACCTGGAACTCAGGGACCGACTTGCATCTGCCTCCCTTGTGCAGGTGTCAAAGGCTTGTACCACCATACCTGACTGGTTAACTTTAAATTTATTTATACATAACTTAACAATAAACCTCAGGTTGACCATTCTGCCTATATTCAGGTTATTTTCTGCCAGGGTCTGGATGTTTGGTAGCTATCAATTCTAACAATCACATTAGGTTGTGCGATGCTGTATATGTGTAGAATGAGCTGTGAGCAAAGGTCTTTCTGAGCCTCGTACAGACAGCTTCCATCGGATCAGGTTTGTTTCCTCGGACATCAACAAATTCATTACTTAAGAATGACATTAGGCGTACAAGTTCCTTCCTTGCCTAGGGACTCAGATTAGAACCAGGGCTGGTTGCCTTTTAAGGAAGGAGTAGAAACAGCTGACTTTCTGTGACTGGGCTGTGACCTGGATGGCAGTTTTTCCAAGACGTGGTGGTGGCTGGTATTCCTCTCTCCCTGTTGCCTGTGCCTTGTGCTTGCCTGCGGCAGAACTTTTGAATGGCTTGCGCTCCCGTTTCTCTGGGAAGTGTGTGTCTTCCTCACCAGTTACATTTTTTTTCTGGCACTCTACAGTGATGGGGAAGGGAGAAAGAGGACCTCCTCCACCTGCAGCAACGAGTCCCTAAATGCTGGGGGAACCCCTGTCACACCTCGAAGAATCTCCTGGAGGCAGCGTATTTTCCTCCGGGTTGCATCTCCTGTGAACAAGTCCCCATCAGCAATGCAGCAAAAAGGTCTGTGTGAAGTCAGCCAATTCCTCCTCACAATTGTCCTAAGCTAGGGAACAGAATGGGCATGCTCAATGTGTAGAGGTTTAGGAGAATATGGGGAATCATAGCTTCCTGTGTGCCCTGTTGCAACTCATTTTAAGTGATCATTATGGCACAGTAGACTACATATCTGGTACATGCTTGACTGGAAGCGTGAGTGAGATTTCTGACTTGGGTATTATTCTACAATGCTTGGGAGATATGCTCTATTATGCATGCCTGAGAGCCAGAGAATTCTATGCAGGCAAATTTTTAAGAAGAGTAAATAAGCCAATAGGGCATATTAGAGATTTTAATAAATTCCTTTCTGGAAATTCAGAATAGGAAAGTGAACCATGTGTAACATGTGAATAATGCAACTGAACAAGCTTCATGTAACACTGATAAATAATTTGCCACTGTAGAGAAAATGAATCCATCTGAACACATAGGAAGTACACATGCAAATTAGTTATATATTTGGCCAAAGCATATAAATATGTTGGTAAGTTTCCCACAGTTGTGATCACCTGTACTTCATTTTCTGATCACAATGGGAAAGAGAGATAGAGGGTAGGGGAGGTGATGATTCATCGCATTTATCTAAAAGTAAAAATGAGAGATTAAGTGTACTGAGGTGTCATGGGGCTGGCAACCGTCACCGGTCTACAGACACAGGAGTAACAATGGCCTAGCCGCAGAGATCAGTGAATCTACAAACAGGATAAACTGGCATTGCAGAAAATGACACTGACTCTGCCTAGGATGGTCCAAGGGCTTCATCTTCGGGGGAAACATATCCCGGGAAAGTTCTAGATTCATACTGAGAGAGTGTTCAGGCCAGAGGATCGTGAGGGATTGAGCAAGAAGGGTATCCTGGACAGGAGAGTGAGATCTGAGGTTGGAAAAATCATCTTGGGGTGATCCTGACAAGATTTTTACATGCTATTCCCAGAGAGCTATATATTGTTATTAATTTTTTTGGCGATGTCAGCCGTTATTGAAATGTTTTAGGAGATAAGATCATTCTATTAATAGAATAATAGTTGGCATAAGCAGAGAGCAGCTGGGGTAGCGGGAGAGAAATGGCTTGGGCAAGCCAGTTAAGGAAACTATGCTGGGAGGGAATGGCCTTGGTGTGTTTCTCAGAGTGGAAAGTCCCAGCCTTGTTCAGCTGTGGTATCCTGTGGGACTCAGCTGGTAGACAGGGACCTCAAGAGGTCACCCACACCTACTCACACAGCCCTGTGTCGCACAGGCTGAGGACAGACACACTGATGAATTGCAGAAGTGTCAGCCCCCGGGGAAAGGCCAGTTGGCTTTGCAGCCACGGGCTCTTGTGTTTCTGGGTGGAAAGAGGAAGTGGTGACCTCACGCGTGTTCTTGTTTCACTGCTACAGGGAAACCTGGAAGGGGAATTCAGTCTGACTTTACCTTAAATCACTGGTTCCAGTAACTCAGAGCTACTGGGAAAGCGGTGTGTGAGCACCTTTCCCTGTGCTGAGCAGCGTGCATTCTTCAGGGAAGGCCCCAGTGTAGGGACCCCTGCGGGATGCCACTCACTGTCTTCTTCTCTGCAGATGGCCTGGACAGGACCGAGCTGCTCCCGTTGTCCCCTCTCACTCCCACTATGGAGGAAGAACCTCTCGTTATATTCTTGTCTGGTGATGAGGACACAGAAAAAGTTGAAGAAAAAAAGAAATCAAAGGAACTAAAGAGTCTGTGGAAAAAAGCTATACACCAGCAAATTCTGTTGCTTCGGATGGAGAAAGAAAATCAGAAGCTGGAAGGTTAGCCATTCAAGCAGGGCTAAGGGCTCCATATAACTCATTCTTGGGTGGATGCATACTCTGATTGAATATTGGTTGGTTCTCTCTCTCTCTCTCTCTCTCTCTCTCTCTCTCTCTCTCTCTCTCTCTCTCTCTCCTCTGTGTGTGTATGTATGTGTGTGAGTTATGGCTTGAGAAAGAAGGGTTTAAAATTTTGCCTTTTTATTTGATACCGTTGAAATACCAGTAGCCTTTTTGCATAATGAAGAGTGCAGACACATAGGATCCCTGTATTTACCAGGACTGCAATTTAGTATTGTTATGCATTAGTTAAGAAAAACTTTGCCACATGAAAAAAGAAGATCTTTTCTTTTTGAATATGATCTGCAACTTCCAGGCATAATCATTCATTCTGAGGGAAATATGCCCATTTCGAGCAAATTTTTCTGAGTTGTATCTAATTTAATTATCACCAATTAAATACAACCAGGTCCAAGTTGCTAGGTTTTTATAAATTTTCCATTTAAAATGACTTTTAAATCACTAAAGTTATAATCTAATATTTGTAAGAGCTGGCTACGGCTTTACTACTAGGTTTGTATATACTAAATGCTTTAGAATGAAAAGATGATGTAATTTGTTTCAGTTCCAGTAGATCAAAGAGATCTCAGATAGTGCCCAAATCCAAAACATACACAAATACCATTATTTTGGGCAAATTACTTCACCCAAAGGGTTTGCTTTTCTATCTGTAAAATGAATGATTAGTTTAAGGGGGCCCTTGGCATTTGAGGTTTCCAGGAGATGTATAAATAGCATTTTTCTGTCTCTCACTTTTGTTGTATTGTCTTCCAGAAGACATTTAAAAATGTAGGTGTTTACATTTCTGAGCTTATTTTCTGCCATAATGTCCTCTTTACTGTACCTCAATGCAATTCAGGTTTTGATTCTTGAAAAAAATTAACACCGCTTATTTTGTTTATTTTTATTGTTATTTTTTACCAGCATGCAAAGTACATAAGTTGCTAAATATCCTTAGGAAATAAGTCTTTTCTCAAGATTAAAAACTCAATTCAGCTTTTAAGAGGTTGTGTGACACATAGTATACTCTCTGGGATTCTCAAAGATTTTGGTAGGACTAGAAGTCATATTTTTCAGCAATTAGTTTCATCTTGATTATCCTGAACATAAAAGGAAATTGGCAAAAAGATGATTAATGTTGTTATAAACATTGAAAGCATGGATTTTAGTTCAGTTAAGAGTATATTCAAATAAAATCTTATATTCTGTATCAAAGGATAGTTTTAGATTCTTGGGTTGTTTGAACGGACAAATGAATGGCCTTGTTTGGCTCAGTCTTTATTCTAGAGACCAGTAAGTGACTAGTGCGGGCACACTGTAGACTTCACCTGAAGTCACACGGTGGCACTCAAGGGGGACCAATTTTAGAACACAGGGCTGCCTGTTCTAACTCCCTGGCCTTTTTGAGTATTCTACAATGTCTCCCCACTGTGTGTGCTAGTATGAAATGGTGGTGTGTTTTAGTATAAGTGATTGCACGTCTTTATTGAGGTCAGCTACACTATGTAATTTTACAGAGTAAGGACAGAGAAGATGATGAGAACTCTTTTGTAAAGGCTTTATCAACTCCATTCTTACTTCACAGCTTAAGCATAAAGGACAAGATTCTAGATGGATGGCAATCATTTCCCAACATTGCCTTACAGTTAAACAATTGAGAGAGGACAAAAATCAGTGTTCTTACCATTTTTTAGTCAGGGTCTGTGACTAGCATATAACAGGTTCTTAGGATTATTTGGGATGCACACTGACAAGAAAGGGTGTAGGAAAGATAGCTAAGGAGATATGTGTAGTTCCCTGTTAAGCACACTGTGAGTAGCGATGCATATAGAGAGTTGTGTTTATTGTTAGCTTCGGCAGACCTCCTTCTTTGAAAGAACTATCCCCTGCATACACATGAACATATCCCAGGCTGAACCGCACTAGAAAGCCACCTAGTGGCCTCCAAGAGAAATGTGTTTGTAGTTCATCTGCCTTTTGGCTATGTTCAGACTTCTAAATAGGAATCTTTATCACCCTGCTTGAAGAATAGTTCATTTTAAGGTATTTTGCTTCTTTTTGGATGGTTTTAATTGCATTAAGTAAAAAGTAACATTCATCCTGCTACTGTTTTTGTGCTGTCGAGGACTTTGGATGCTTGACAAAGATTTGTGTTGCAGAAGGTAAGCTGACCAAGGGAGAAGGGAGCTTGAGGGGATGGAGAACATTCAGATTCCTGTGAAGAGACCAAGAGGAAGGGTGGGATGTGCACTCCCGTGTCTGTATCTCTGTTCTCTCGTAATTGTTATTTAACATAAAGACCGGTCAAGGCAGCGGGCGCTTTTTATAGGCATTTCCTTTAATGAGTCTGGGCTTGTGGTTTAGATCACCAAGCAAGGAAGAAGTCTGCGTCATTACAATGAATTTCCCTTTTTAAGGTTATGAAGAAGAGAGGCTCCGGTACATAGCTCAGTGGTAGAAAGCATGCTTAGCCTGCACCAGGCCTTCCGCTCAATCCTCGCACCTCAAATAAACAAAAGGTTATTAAAGATGAATACAGGAACATATAGTCTAGTGTTAAGGGAAATATGAATGACTCTACAACTAATAGGGATGCATTAGACTCTCACAGTAAATAAAATAAAATAATCTATTTTTACGTATATGAACGTTTTGCCTACGTGTGTTTCAGTATACTACATGAGCACCAGTGTCCTCGAAGAATCCTCTGGAACAGCAGCCAGTGTTCTTGACCACTGAGCCACATCTCTAGCCGCTTTAATGATGTTAAAGTTGATATCAGCTGCTGCTTCTAACGCTTTCATATTTTCCCAGAGTTGAAATTCATAGCATTGCTAACATTTACTTATTTGTGTGCACGCACACCTGTGTGTGTGTGTGTGTGTGTGTGCACGCTCATGTCACAGTGGAACTGTGGAGGCCAGTGGACAGATTTTGAAAGCTGATTCTCTCCTCCCTCTATGTGGGTCCCAGAGGTCCATTTCAGGCTTGGTTAATAGTATCTTGAACACACAGAACATCTCTTCAGCAGCAGTTTGTATTTTATTTATACTTAGCAAAACTGCAGAGTATAAAATAGTAAAAAGTTCTTAGGTGCTGTATGTATTTTCTCATAGGAATGACTCAGCATTTGTAAACCTCCTATATTTCCTCCAAAAGACTTATAAAGATTTTCCTTATTTTTATGTACCTGAGTGTTTTGTCTGCATGTGTCCCTGAACATCACTGGTATGCAGTGTCATGTAGGCTATAATAGGGTGTTGATCTTCTGGAACTGGAATTACAGATGGTTGTTAGCTGTCATGTGGGTGCTGGGAATTTAACTTGGATCCTTTTAATCACTAAGCCATCTCTCCAGCCCCATTTCCTCAAAATTTTAATTTTTCCCTCCAGAGGAGAGTAAGTGGTTATAGTAATAATACATCCAGTATTTACAATGCTGTATTGTAATAACAGGGTGGTTTTGATTCATTGCTTTTCTTTCTTTCTCTTTTTTTTCAAGCAAGAAGAGATGAACTCCAGTCTAGAAAAGTTAAGTTAGACTATGAAGAAGTTGGTACATGTCAGAAGGAAGTCTTAATAACATGGGACAAGAAGTTGTTAAATTGCAGAACTAAAATCAGATGCGACATGGAAGACATTCACATGTCCCTTAAAGAAGGTAATCACCATTTTCATAACCTATTAGCATGGAAAGCTGTGGAGATGTTTTTGATTTATGAAGTAGAAACATATTATTGTCCTGTACATTGTATTGTACTGTAAAGAAAGTAAAGCAGGTTGTTGGTGGCGTACGCCTTTAATCCCAGCACTTGGGAGGCAGAGGCAGGTGGATCTCTGTGAGTTCGAGGGCAACCTGGTCTACAAGAACTAGTTCCAGGACAGCCTCCAAAGCCACAGAGAAACCCTGTCTCGAAAAAGCAAAAAGAAAAAAAAAAGAAAGAAAGGAAGGAAGGAAAGTATAGTGCTGTGTGGATGGATGGGTTTTCTGTTACTACCTATACCCTGCTAATAGGATTGATGAGAAATTGGTGACTCTGTCCCCACAAAGGTTTCTGACTTTACTATTACTCCTTCATACTTAGTGCAGCTTTTCTGATGCTCGGTGTTCATTGCTTACCGAAGAAGAGATGCGTGTCTTAGTAGACATGTCTAATTGTTGCCATGAAATAGTGAGGATGCACTGACTTGACTCATCACCAGCATTTGATCAGAAATACTTATTTACATATAATAATGGTGATGGGTCTATGAAAGACAGCTTATCAAAATGCGATGCTATTAGCACACTGGAGAACACCAGCTGAAAGGAGAGATTCAGTTTTCCCTGTGATTCAGCTCACCTACTGTGGCTTCATGGCTTTATTTCCAAACTCATGATCTGACTTCTGCATCTCGGGTTGTAGGGGTTCCCAAAAGTCGACGAGGGGAAATTTGGCAGTTTCTAGCATTACAATACCGCCTGAGGCACAGATTACCCAACAAGCACCAGCCTCCAGACACCTCCTACAAGGAACTTCTGAAGCAGCTCACTGCTCAGCAGCACGCCATACTTGTGGATTTGGGTATGTCTGTGTTTGTTGCTTGGTTAACGGTGATAAAGAAGATGGTTGACATCTACTGAGCTGCTGACCCCTTTGTCTGGGTTAGTTGGCCTTATATTCAGATTAAAGAACCATGAGTGGAATATTCACCCCCAAACTTCTCTGAAGTGGGAATCACTGTGAAGGCCATGTTACGGGATGCGCTCAGTTACCGTGTGTGTGTATGTGTGTGTGTGTGTGTGTGTGTGTGTATGTTTATAGTGCTGGAGATAAAACTCAAGGCCTTGTGCATTCTAGGCAAGTGCTCCTCCACTGAGCTATCCCCTCAGCCAGGCATCTCTGTCATGATCAGTGCTGATTTTGAAATAGGTTAAAAGGGTAAAGAGATATTTAACAGGACTTTGAAGACTTTCAGACACTTCTGAATACCAACTTTCAGCAATCACTGTACAAACTAATGTCAAAGTCATCCTGGTAGGGACTCCAGAATGACTAGATAATGGCAAATCAGAAAACAAGCAGCCATATGTGTGGACCGGTGGGCTGCTCATGCACTCTGCTGAGATACATCCCTAGCCCCATAGTATAATTTTAAAAATCATTTTTTCTCTTAAGCCAATTATCATATATATGTTTATATATATATATTACTATTTTGAAGTATCTAAAATTTATATTGGTATTTAGCTATTTAATCAATACCTTTAGTTGAGTTCCTGAGTGGTAAAGAGAGGAATACCTTATATTTGTGTTCAGTTTATATTAGGCATATAAGAAAAATCACTGGCTAAAAACTAGTGTTTGCCTCTGTTCTTTTCATTGGCAAACAGCTTTTCTTGGGGGAAGGGCTCAACTCAATATATTTTGATTCCAATAGAACCAAAGTGGAAATGTTATAGGGAAAATGAACAATTCAGTCGATGTCCTGGCTGTGGTTGTCAACAGGTTGCATTTCTCCCAAGTCTGTTCCTTTGTTAACTGAGAACCTTGTCCTTCCCCATGGTCCCTGCCAAGCTGTGGAAATGTATTGGTAAATGGGCGATGAGATGTAGGACCAGGGCATTGCAGCTGGGGCCAGTCTAGATGTCCCTTATAACAGGAAAATGGTGAGTGAGCTTTCAATGAAAGAATGCCAGACAAAGATGGAGGGAGGCTGTGTTCTTGGATACACAGTGTATTTATAACTTTTTCTTAGCAAAAGATTGAAGGGAGAAATTAGATTGCTAATTTTAAAAACTGGTTATTTGCCTCTGCCCAGTGGCCATCTGTGTTCCTCCATTCCTCTCCCGTGCCTCCTCTCATTTCTCCTCCTTACGCTGCAGAAATAATCTTATCAGTTCCTGGAAAACACAGAAAAGGAAAACAGAAAGCACTTTTCAGCCTATGTGCTGGAAAACACTTCAAAATCTCCCCACTATTGCAGATTCTAGTTGACCTGAGTAGTCAGTCATTTGACAAGGAAGCTCACATCGTCCTTGTTTTCTGGTGGCTCAAGGAAAGTCCCAAGCTAGTGTCAACAGCTTTGGTGAGGAGGGTGGCTCTGTAGCAGTACCAAGCATCAGCATTTTAGAAATGCAGGGCTGAGTTTGTTTGCATGTTGGTGTCTCCATGGTAATTTCCTATCCAGAGGTAAATTTTAGGCAGAAATTTACTTGAAATCACATTGAGCGTTCACTGTCTTTATCTTCCTTGGACATGTGTGTGTATATATGTGTGTACATATTCGTGCTTGTATTATATTCATATGTTGTATATTTTTTAAAAGAGGGTTACATGGTTTATGGAAACAGAGATAAAATTTATCTAAAAAAGCATAATTCCTAAATGATAGACTCCCTGTAAAGCAAAATAAAACCAAACAAATCCTTCTAGTATCATATTACAAACACACAAAATAAAAAGTGAATCGGATTGCAGGTTACCAAGATTTTGTCCTAAATAAAGACACCTTATAGAATTTGATTTTCATTAGAGAGTGGTCTTTACATGAATTTAGACTTTGCCTTGATTCAAACTCAAAATCAATCTGAGTTTTGATCTGTAGTACCTCCGGGCTCTACCATCGAGGACAGATTTCTGTTGAATGGCATTGCTTTTGTAGGAAGCAATGCTGCTTAGCATAAAATGGTCGTCTCTGTCATGTGTGTGGAACATAGAGTACAAGGTGGCGAGGGGAAGAGGGTGGCGAGGGGGAGGGAGAGAAGAAGAGCCTCTGAGATGAACATTCCCTGACAGAGTGCTGCTTCTTTTCAGAGGTCACTGCCTTGGGTTTCCCTTCTGACTTCTAAGCTTGGTTCTCCTTTCCCTCCACAGGGAGGACGTTTCCCACCCACCCTTACTTTTCAGTGCAGCTTGGAGCAGGGCAGCTGTCCCTCTTTAACCTGCTGAAAGCTTACTCTTTGCTGGACAAAGAGGTGGGCTACTGTCAGGGCATCAGCTTTGTGGCCGGAGTACTGCTTCTGCATATGAGCGAAGAGCAAGCCTTTGAAATGCTCAAGTTCCTTATGTACGACCTGGGCTTCCGCAAGCAGTACCGACCGGATATGATGTCGCTTCAGGTGAGGCAGCAACTCTTGGTCTTCAGGTATGCAGGAGGTTTTCATCAGAGGTCTCGGTGCCAGCCGTTTCTGAATCACAGTTCAGAGTTCATGAAGTCTAGGCCCGGTGTCTTTGAACTTGGGCAAATGAATGGATATATGTTAATCATTGTTTTAGGTGAGGATTTGAGATTTTGCTAAATACTGATGTGCTTAGGAAAGCATGCAGAAAGTGCTCACCAAGGTATACAACTATAGCAGTCCAATTCTGATTTGGCAGCTATGTATAGGCCTACTTAACGGGCTAAATGATGCTTTATTCTGAACAGTGTACTTATATTTTGTATCAGAGAGAAAACATTGGCACAACTGTAAGGAATTAAATTAACTCTGGTTTTCAGAAAACAATTTCTTTGTTATTAGAGTTTCAGAGAAAAGAAGCTGTATGTGAACAGGGATTTCGGTCCACAGGCAGAAAGATTTAGTTATAAATTTAAAATACAATATTTTTTCTCATTAGAGAATTCCTAATAAAAATTTAACCCTGCATAAGCATAGGTCAGTTGGATTCATACATTAATAATCAGTATGATTCAGGAAACATCACAGAAGAGTCCCAAGTGATAATCCCTACACACATGTACATAAGAGCAACATTAAATGGACTCAGAGGGTTGTACATGTGTGTATATGTATGTAACAATAGCAATTATGGGATAGGTCATGAATCCATGTTGGAAGGAGAAGTAGGAGTGAGGGAGTTGTTACAATGATGTAAGCAGTGTGCTATGTCAGAAATTCTCAAAGAAAATCATAAAAATTATCATTATAATTACCAAGAATACTCTTCCTTATTTTGGAAGTGTAAATGTTCCTGCCAGCAGTGACAACCTCCTAGGTGTTATCATCCCAGGAGTGCTGAACTCTGCTTCAGAAAGTGAAACAGGACACATTTCCATTGCTAGCAGGATGCCAGTAGGGTTTGATCCCTGAGGTTTCCAAAGATGGTTCAGCTGCCTTCCCTACCTACACTAGTGAGCCTGGCTTCCTTGAAGGGAGGTCTGTTTTCTTGCTTCACTCTTGAGTGTGAGCACTACAGGCTCTGCTTCAGTGACCTTAACTATGAACAGGGGTGGGTCTCCTTTTCATCACTATCTGTCTCTGCCGATCTCTGTGCTGGATGCTCTGTGCCGGAGCTCTGTGCTGGATGTGCACCCTTCTGCTGCTCTCTGAAGTCTGGTGTGGCCTTTCGCCTCTTTCGCCTCTTCCATTACCCTCCCTTCTCATGTCGCTTCCTCCTATCTGGAGCCTTGCCAGGTTAAATGCACTGCCGAATAGGAGAATGATTTGATTTTTTTTGGACAAATAGGGCTTTATTATTAAAACTTCCTTTGTAGGAGCCTTGGTTTTCGCATCTGCCCAAATCTACTTCGATGGAGGAAATATTGCTAGCCTCCAGTTTAGAACATAGGATGCAGAATGAAAATAATGAAATGGCAAACATTTGTTTCTTTATTATGGTCACAACTGAACAAGAACAGAATGTCTTTATCAACATACTTGCTTTTTCCTCTGCTAATAAGGTTTGATTCTGAGCTTATCGAAATACTAGTTTTTCTGCTGACGAACGCCCACCCTGTCTAGTTTCTAAACCGGAGCTGGTCTGGGGGAAATGTATGATTTCCTTCTGGACATGGCTTACTGAGATAATAATCTCATTACAAAACCTCTGTTTGTGTTTGCCTGCTGCCACGCTGTTTATTTTCTTACCATGACTTCCTGTGGCTCTGGTTTGTTCCTTTTACAGTTTGTGTGGAAACTCAGTTTCCAAGATTTGTGTTGTTGATAAGGCTCAGATGGGATCGGCAGTGTCTATGTGCAATACTTGGTGATTCGTTTTCCCCCGGGAGTTGTCTCGTTTTTAGTTTATGCTCTGGAAACCGTTCTTGAACTTACAACATGATTGGTTGTTAGCGTGCACTTTTTATTACTTTATGTCTCTTTATAAGAAAAAGTTTTCATTCAGCAGGAGATACTGGAAATCTGTTAGGAGACTCAAAAACAATTCATTCCTATTGGAAGAATGATGTCCTTTCCAAGTACACACACCACACCAAACACATGGTAGACACGCTTGATTAGGAGACCTAGTTGAGTTTATACTGATATGAATTATGCCCTAAATGCAGTGACCTTGTTTTTGGACATCATCTTTAAAGTTAACAATAAAAATAAAGATGTGTTGCTTTACTAAGTGTGTGTGTGTGAGTTCTTGGAAGTTTGTATGTTGGATACACATGCAGATTGCTGCAAGTTTTCTTTTTCTTCTCTATATGAACCGCAGATCCAGATGTATCAGCTGTCCAGACTCCTTCACGACTACCACCGAGAGCTCTACAATCATCTTGAGGAGAATGAGATCAGCCCCAGCCTGTACGCGGCACCCTGGTTCCTCACGCTCTTTGCCTCTCAGTTTCCCTTAGGATTTGTAGCCAGAATTTTTGGTAAGAGATGCCTGTGTTCAATAGGGAGAGTGGTATATGTTCTCCCGATGTCATCGTCAATGAAGTCCCCACAGGGCTAGGAAAATCCTAAGTATTAATCAAACACAGTGGAAAAGAATTGGGTTCCTATGAGCTTATGCTTATTTGTGTGGAAAACCTAGAAAACACAGTTTTCAAATGTGGATTAGGGACAGACTGTATGGTTTTCTAGATTTTTATCTTTCTGGATCTTTCATCTTTCTCTCATTACCGTCTTCAACTTGGATTCAAAATACAGAGAAAGGAACACAGCTGCTGTGCTATTATGGGTGCTATTTCTAGTGGCATTTCTTAGTCTTTCTGTTGTTAATACATCACATTTGTTGTTTCCTTGTTTACATAGCTACATTTACTGCCACGGAAGGAGGCATAGCCAATCCGTAAGGCTATGGCTAAGAGGAAAATCACTGAATGTAGACAGGCACATTATTGCTTTGCTCCAACCACAGGGTTGGCAATTGAAGAAAGGAGAGCATGGCAAGGCTTGTGTGTCCTCTGGGGGCCTTTAGATCTCTTCACAGGTCTTAAATGGGTTCCTCAAAGTATCATTAAGAAAACATGAGCCTGAGTGTATGTGTGCACATCTGTAATCTTAGCATTTTGAGAAGCTGAGACGGGATTGGGAGTTTGAGACTGCGTAGACTGTGGGCTACATAACAAATCCTCATTTGTCTTAGGTATGATTTCTGTTGCTATGATAAAACACCATGACCAAAGGGAACTTGGAAAGGAAAGGCTTTATTTTAGCTCACACTTCTATACCACAGTCCATCACTGTGGAAAGTCAAGGCAGGAAACTTGAGGCATGAGTAGATTCAGAGGCCATGGAGAAGTGCTGATTACTGGCTTGCCCCTCATGGCTAGCTTAGCCCCTCATGGCTTGCTTAGCCTACTTTCTTCTAATACCCACTGTCTTCTAGCACCATCGTGTGTGTTCTGGGTCCTCTTACATAAATCAACAACCATAGGAAACTGCACTACAGATTTGTGTACAGGCAATCTTATGGAGGCATTTTCTCAGTTGAGAGTCCCTCTTCCCCAATGGCTCTAGCTGGTGTCAAGTTAGCATAAAACCAACCAGCACAGCGTCTAAAAGCAAAACAGGAAAGACATCAGCAAGTACTGTTCACTAGAAATTTATCCAATGATATTGGCTGGGACCTCTGTGACCTGGAGAGGGCTCCAACATCTGCTGGCTTCTACACATCTGTCTAGAGGCCTGAGCAAGCAGCTCTGTATTTATGGACCACTCATCTAAATTGGAGCTTTGCAATTTTTTGATCAAATTTTAAGTGTTTTCTAATTTTAAGTCATTAACTTTTTTTAAGAGTTAGTATAAAACTAAGAAAAAATCAGACTATAACAAATACAAAGATGTTAGGGGAAGCTTGAGTTTTGAGCATGTGTGTGTCTTATGTGTACATATCCATGTTGTGGTTTAGCACACATTTTTAATCGGAGGTCTAATGCCGTCTTCTGACAAAGCTGGAGCTGAAATGTGATGCCCAATTGCATCACATGGGCTTGCAATCCCTGGCTGTCTCTTGCTTGTTGACTATACACCATTTTTTCCCAGTGGAGTATTCTCTGGTGCTTTGGATTCTGATAATGTGTCTCCTAAAAATTCCTTTAGATGTGCTTGTGTCCGCTTGAAGGGATGTTTCTTTCATTTGCTTTGAACTCATAATGTCAGAGGTAATGATACTCTGTCTCTTCCCTGTTAGAGATCATGACTAAAAATGACAACAGGCAGCCGGGTGGTGGTGGTGCACGCCTTTAATCCCAGCATTTGGGGGGCAGAGGCAGGCAGATCTCTGTGAGTTTGAGGCTAGGCTGGACCGACAGCTTCCAAAATAATACAGAGAAACCTTGTCTCGTAAAACCAAAAAAAAAAAATGACAGCAGGCTGGGATGCACAGATCTTGTGTATGCTGAAGTTCCCTCTTTAATTTCCTACTTGAATATAGATTTAATTACATATTAACTGGCTAATTTGTTTTTGGATTATGAATAGTTGAAAGTACTAGTTGACTACACTGATTTGTTGTTATGAAAAACCTTTTAGTTGAATGTACTTATTTGAACTTTATCTAGAATCCATTAAACTTACCAGTAAAACTCTAAATAATATGTAGACAGACAGATACATGATGTCTCCTTTGTTTTCTTAACCATATATGAAATCCATAAAAGTATGATGAATAGACAACATTTGTTTCAGTCATATCAACTTGTTTTTAAAAATAAAAGCTGGTTTTGACCAGTTTACTTTTACGTGCTTTCTAATTCTGATGCTGCAATAAAACAAAGAATGTGCTCTTTGCAATAATAGATGCACAACTTTGACTGTGAAAATTTTATCCCTTGTTCTAGATATTATTTTTCTTCAGGGAACTGAAGTTATATTTAAGGTTGCTCTCAGTTTACTGAGCAGCCAGGAGGCACTGATAATGGAGTGTGAAAACTTTGAAAATATTGTGGAATTTCTGAAAAGCACATTGCCTGATATGAATACCACTGAAATGGAAAAAATTATTACCCAGGTATGATGTAAATGATCCAACATGTGCTAAACTCTTTCACATAAAAATGTAGTTTGCCTAACATCTATTTTCTTTAAGGTCTTCTTTTGTTTGATTAACTATTTTATTTAGAGCTGAGACGACTATGAAATTTAAGCATTTTAACACCGTCTATCTGCCTTTGCACAGAAATATGCTATAGTGATGTATGGTAGGTTTTCAAGGTATCCTTTTGATTTAAACCATCAGTGAGATCTTGGTCAGAACCTGAATGGTTAGTATGGCCAGAGAGAAAAATGAAGCTCACCAGCTTTGCAATGTCACCAATTCTTTCAGAATTTCTAAGAGTGACCAGGTCTGTGACCCCAGTTACTTGGGAGGTGGAGGATGTGGGATTGCAAATCTAAGGCCACCATGGTGCTGTAGCTCAGTGATTGACCATTCCTTTGTCCAGATTGGGTCCTCAGAACCACAAAATGTAACTCATATGCAGATTATGTAAACAGTAATCAGTAGTTTCTAATTATTAAAATCTTTAAGTTAAAAACTATGGCCTTTGTTTATATTTTATTATTTGTCTGTTTTTTAAAATATCTTTTCTGATTTGTTTGAAGCATGGTCACACTGTGGAACCCAGGCTGGCCTTGAACTTGCTTTTTCTCCCACTTCTGTCTCCCAAGTGCTGGGCTTGTGGGTATGGATCACCATATATTACTGGCTGAAATAACTTGTATTCATATCAAGCAGTTACATATAATGATTTTTGGAGATATGAAACAATGTATGTCCTCTTAAATCACTGCCCTCCAACTTAAAATAAAGAAATTAACAGGACTTTCCTGACTTTGATTAGAACCAATTGACCATGGAATTGATTGCTTATCTTGAGAGAGTCTCACAAAGACTAGCAATGCATATAGGCATTTATCAAGACCTTTCTGCTCCATTAACAAATACATTCAAAATGCCCCTATGTAGCTTTGCTTACTAATCAGCAGTGATTGTCTCTGACACAGATAATCATTGCTCAACAACAAATGATGACCTGGTACTCTAAATTTCGGGAGATAGTTCTAGATTACAGTCCTCTTGGTTGCTAACTACCCTTGGACATTAGTTTATTCTTGTGACTTGGTCTCATTTTTAGGATGTTTCAGTTGCATAGAAATACTCTGTGTGCTATCATACTGAAAGTTAGATCTGTATCTCATTTATTCTTGTGTGGATAGCCAGGGCTGTTTTTCCCTTTTGGTGCATTTTAATGTTCCCAATAGTGCTGGGAAATAAATATGAAGTCTATCATTATACACTGCTTGTATCCTGGTATAGACACTGAAGGGCAGACTAACCAACTCATGGTGCTTCAACAGGTTTTTGAGATGGACATTTCCAAACAGTTACATGCCTATGAGGTAGAATATCATGTACTACAGGATGAGCTTCTGGAATCTTCCTATGCCTGTGATGATAATGAATCTCTGGAGAAGCTGGAGAGAGCCAACAACCAACTGAAAAGACAGAACATGGACCTTCTAGAAAAACTCCAGGTACAGAAATGAAGATGGGAACAACTATGAGCGAGTAGCACTGTTGCATGGAACTGCTCAGGATGATTGGGGCATGAATGTGGGTTGAACCGATGAAGACCAGTGACATAGGTGTCTCATCTGGTTCATGTATTTGGAGGTCAACAAATGTACTTAGGAGCTTAAGTATCACTTGGGGATGGAACAGATCCACAAAATAGTAGAAGAGCAATTCAAAGCAGAATTTGGGTTCACCTTATTGGATGCTATAAAATTCAGGTAATTTCTGGGGGAGGAAAAAATAAAGCCTGAGGAACCAGGTATGTGGTTATGTGAGCGTGGGCTGGATTCTGAGGGATGAACAGTGAGTGAGGAGGACCTTTGTGTTGCTCAGGGAAGGAGGCTGAGTCAGTCAGAAAGCTTGGCAGAGCTTGTCAGGTCAGGCCTCATGCTGGTGAGAGGAGGAGGGGGAGGGTGGAGAGAAGCAGAGTTTCTTTGTTGTCTATGAACAGAGTTTTATGTGTCCATTTTCAGAAGGAAGCATCACAAAAGTATTCAGGCCTCGTGTTTGAAAGAGCAATAATAACCAAAGACATGTTAGGGTGGAGTCAGAAGGAAGGGAGGCAGCTAGTGAAACACTTGTGAAAATGTAGTTAGTTTTGTCTGATACTTGTCTAGTGCAAAACAGAAATGGAGAGAAGCGGAGATGTCTCTGGGTAAATCGACAGTGAACTAATAACACAGACTTGCTACAGACTTTCTATTGACAGCTCCAGGTAGCCATCGTCAAACTTCTCAATTAGTTGAAATGAATGGATTTCCAAGTATGTCTGTAGAAGCCAAACCTCCTGGGAGGTCTTACGTTGTTGAAGGTACTGCTTTTGGAAGGGATTAAGGAAGTTTTCCTAATACCTTTGTTCTTCTGGAAGGCTTGTTACTAAAGGGCAAGACTGTCTAGAACCGCCAATCACTTGGATTCCTTCTTAAACACAGGAGCTCTTCCTCACCAGTGTGCTCAAATGATGATGTGTGACACAGCAGGGGTAGTGGGAGTGCTTGCCGAAGTGAGCACCATGCTGCTTACTCTAGCATCTCCCAAAACTGTGAGATAAACTGAGTCACATAGCAAAAACTAGTCAAGAGTGTCCTTGTTCCACGTTTAGGCAGGCAGGACAGGGGACACCAGTGAGTGTGGGTGATGACTTCAGCTTCATGTAGGGATGAATGTCATGTGAGTATAATGAGTGTATATACATATGCCTGTACATGTGTGTCTGTATATATATATATACACATATATATATACACACACAGAGAGACACACAATCACACATACATACATATATGTATATATTTACATATATGTAACATATGTTGCTGAAGTTTGAATCCAGGATCTTTAGAATGATAGAAAAGTATTCTATCACTGAACTTACATCTTCTGTTTCTAATATTTAGATTTTTGAGTACTCTAAGAAAAAAAACATATTCCAGAGAATATTTTTGTATATTGAAATATTCTTAAAAAACAACTGCATTTTTCTCAGTGTTTGTTCACATGATATTCTGTTAACTAATGTGATATAATTATCTAATAACAAATGTAAGGCATGGCTGTTACTGTAATAAGGAAACAGACTTCCTAAAATTTTTAATTTGATTTTTTTTTCTTGACAAACAGGTGGCTCATGCTAAAATCCAGGCCTTGGAATCCAACCTAGAAACTCTTTTGACCAGAGAGACCAAAATGAAGGCTTTAATCCGGACCCTGGAACAAGATAAGATGGCTTATCAAAAGACTGTGGAGCAAATCCGGAAGCTGCTACCAGCGGATGCGCTGGCCAACTGTGAATTGCTGCTGAGAGACCTAGCTTACTCTACTAATGACAAAGCCAAGACAGGAAATAAGCCATAGTTCTAGATGTGGCCTCAGCATAGAGCTAGCTACCTTACGATACATGGAAGGTGGCACACCTGTGCACTGCAGATCTAATGTCGACCAGAAATCTGGTGGGACACCTATTACTGGTGCTGAGATCATCAGTGGGTGATGTCGCTCTCCTCAGAGCACTCTACTCCTAAGCCATCATAGACATCCAGACTGGATTTTCTTCTGGTTGTTGCCAACTGTATACATAAATATACATAAATGGACATAAAGATCAGTGCTTTCAAATCAAACAGTAGACGTGTATTCAGAGCAGTTTTTCTTTTCTAGTCAAAAATTCTAGTCAAAACTTCATGAAATCCACACCAAATGGAAGTTGAAGTGACATTTCCTTTTGGACACACATGAAATCTTTTTGTTTTTCTAGTGAAACAAATCTAGAACACCTTTGTGTATTGAAATATACTTGAAAAAAAATGAATGTATTTCCCCTCCCCCCCAGACTAGCATGTTTCACTCAGTGTGGTAGGCAGACACATTTCTGTAACTGTGTGTGGCTGTTCCATGTAAGGGATGTGTGAGTCTCTTAGGAAGGTAGGGCCTATCTGGCCTTGCCCACTGTGTGACAACTAGTATGTCTGATCTTCACTTACCTTGAGTCTGGTTAGGCTTTGCTAGACACACAGGGACAAGGCAGGACCTGTGTCTGAGTCCACCCACCTCAAAGGGAAGAGGAATGTTGCTAATTTTCTAGCAGATTAGACCAGCATTGATATTCAAACTGGAAATATCAGGCCTCAAAAACACAACTAAGCTCCTAAATTGTCTGTAGTAGCTTTTTGCCTTTTTATTTAAGTGACTTAAACAGTGGTAAACAGTTGGTTGGTGTTGTATCTACCAAGTGACAAGGTTTGCTTTTTTTCCTCACAAAATTATGGGAGCCTTCCATGTAATTCTTGTGACCTTCAGTTTAGGATAGGGAAATGAAATTATGATCGATTTTCCAAAGATGACATATCATGTTGAGTTGCTTTTTATCTTTTGCTCAATAATAGAGCGTCTATGACTCAATTTCCCCTTTCATGTGAAAATTTAGAACTGTGAAATGTTTAGGAACAAACTATGTAAAGTACACTGGAAGGGAAGAGAAATTTCTTGAACCCAGTTAAAACCTGTACAATTCTGTATTTGGACTCCTGGTTTCGCAGGTATAGACAGCTTACTAGGGAATGTTCATGCATGCTCGGTGCATGGGTGGAAAGTAATTTTCCTAGTACACGGTCAGTCCCTACAACAGAGATGACTTGACAGCAGTGCCTCTGAACATGAAGGCAATGCTTCTGCCTTTCCAAACAGTGTTTATTGTTGCTGCTTTTGGCAGTCCTTGTCTTTTTTTTGCAGAAGGGTTATTTGGGGTTAATTTTCCTCAGAGAGAGTTTATTATACCCAAGATGAAATTTTATTATAGAGCTCACAAGTCAAAATGTAAATCAGTAGATGCCAAGCATCTACAAACCCTTTTCGGATGTTCCTCACTTGAATGTCACAAGTCTTGAGATCAGGGTGATGTTGGATCCAGGGGGTTTCCTCCCCAAACCACCAAGTCTTATTATGTAGGAGAGTTGCTATAGCGTCTAGATTCTCGGAAGTGCTTGTTCTATATTCTCTGTTAGGATGAGGGCCATTAGTTGATCCGTTGCTTGGATATTCTGAAAATGTATCCATTTGTAGCGTCTTCTATTCTCCTACCAGGATGAAGAAGAACACAGTCTTACTTTCTGATGATAGAAATTGCCTTATGGGTGTGATGCCCAGGTGGTGACTGAGGAGTCTTCATGTTGGGGAAGGAAATATTTTCTTTTGGTTTCTTAGTTAAAAGTACACTATATTCTGGATGTTCAAAGTCAGCAATTAAGACAATGTGGATACAGCATTTTCTTGTGAAAATGATTTTTTCTTTCTCATTTGTGATTTTGAAAAATGTTATACCAGTTCTGCTTTGTCATTTTACATCTTCATCAGGTTCATATAATGTCTGTGCATTTCCAATAAATATGTTGCTGCATTTTCCTGAACTTTGCTGTTGTTATTTTGGGGGGAGGGTAGGATGGAGTGGGGCTTAATCCTTTGCTTAGAGACTTGAAGTCAAAACCTGCATGGGTTGGACTGATGCTACCCAAACCTGAAAATGCTGAACGTTCTCATGAGAAAATTCCAGGACAACAAATATAATTTAAGACCATTGTGAAAATATAGTGTTGAGCAATTTCCAACTTCTTTCACAATGAGGTTGTGACTGTAGACCTCTTTTCTCTCTTCCCTCCTTTTGTCCTATTCTCCAGGCCTCCTTCCCTTCCTCATTCCTTCCCTCTCTTCATTCCCTATTTTTGTTTCCAGTGCTGTGGATGGAAGCTTAGACCTCATGCATGCTAGGCACTACGTAGACTATTGCTAAGACCTCATCCATGTTGGTACTCTATTATTGAACTGTATCTTCAACCCTACCCCTTTTATTGTTTAGGTTCTCTTCTAAAATGGAATGAGGATGCTAAATTGAAGAATTTTTCTATTTAGGATTTCTTCCAAATAATTAAGAATGAAAGCACTTACAAATGGAAACAATATGAATATACTTTTGCATAATATTTCTTTTTAATTATCCTTAACAAGGTCTGCAGTATACAAAAAGGTTACGTTTTATTACTAACCTTACCAATCAGTGTGTAGTTATCTTTTCAGTGTCTTTAACAAAAAGCTGGAGAAGGATGTAGTGGTGCTTCTTGTGAAATTTATTTATTTATTAATTTTATGTATATGTGTGCATGCCCAATTGTCCTTATGTGCACCACATGTCCACAGTGCCAGAAGAGGGCATCCAATTTCCTGGAGATGAAGTTATAAGCCGTTGTTACCTACCTGATATGGGTGCTGGAAACCAAACCCTGCCCCTCTGCAAAAGCAGTTAAGTACTCTTAACAATTCTCCCCAGCCCTCATGGTGGTCTTAATGGTGTAGTCTCCCAACATCCATACTGACTTACCAGTTATGTTACCAGTTTTCTCTTTCTCACAGTGATAGGTTAAGTTTAAGAAATTTATCACCTCACAGTATGCTCTCTACAATAAAGTGATGATACTCTCATAAGTGTTACCATGAAGAGGAAAAGCACTGGATGTTAGAAGTTTTAGACATGAATTTTGGTTTCATCACTGGTGTTTATTTACTCAGCGAGTTGGTTTTATTGGTCAGTTGCAAGCTGAATCCAAGGAGGAGAACTCACAATCTTTGTCCTCAGAGAGCTGTAGTCCAAATAGGAGGAAGCGGTTAATTATAAAACAACTGAAAACATAAGAGGTCATACTGTAGCGTGCAAAGAAATCAACAGTAAGAGTCATTGAATTCAGCTGGGACAGAAGAGGTTGGGAAGTTCCAGGAATGGGTGTGACAAGTGTCCTAAGGAAGAGAAGCTTGGTGGGAGGCTGAAAGTACAGCTGAAGTGCCCTAGTGAGTCTAAGGCAACAAATGAAGAGAGGAAACTGTGTAAATCACACCTTGTTTGTTAATACTGGTTTACTTGGCAAAATGAGTGCAGTCCTGCAGGGGTGTGGTCAGAGATGGGCCTCCACTGGCAAAAAAAAAAAAAAAGAACTCTTGTGAAGATTTCTGTGGACCACGTGAAAGGCTTAGTTTTACTTCCAGGGAAGTTAGAAAAAGGAATTGCCACTAACCAAGGAAGAGTGTTCTAACCCATGAAGACATTTAAACAGGAACTAGGGAATGGGAAAACGCAATAAAAACCCAACCAAACAAATTTAGTGAGTGCCCGATCTATGAGAGTGGCTTCTGGGAAAGTTAATCTTTACATCTTCATCTTTGATGTGAATAGTCACTGGATCCTGCTAGCTTTGTTTACACAGATAGACCATCTTCCCATCCCTATAGCAACTATCCATCCCCACATCATTGCTGTTTACAGATTAAGCTGCTACCATTCCCTACTTCTAAGAAAAAAGTTGTAAATCCAAAGAGGTTAAGCAACTTGGCTGTTGTTTTGTTGAGTGAGAAATGAAAGTAGAGTCTGGGGTTGGATGATTCAGTTGAAAAGAGAAGACAGACCTCAGATTAAGAAAATAAAGTAGAAGTATTGGGGGGGATGGAAAGTATGCTAATAAGGGAGTTTTTGCTATATATTGTATACAGATTATAACATATATAGTACTTTATACCCTATATCAAATACATCACAGCACGTGGTAAGAATCTAGTGGGTGAGTTGCACTGAATAATCTGGGACCATTATCTTCACAGACTACAGTGTAGATGCTTATTGTAGAATGGTGTCCTCAGTGCATAACACCCGTTATCATTTTATTAGAAGTAGCTCACAGCAAGCCATGAAAGAATGTCAAGATTGGTCTTGTTGCCATTCTCTCATAGACAGTGAGGAGTGTCATCAGACCCACACCTGAGATACTAGCCCTACTTTGTTGCCCATTCCAGTAGCCCATGGAATCTTGTAGTCTCAGGAAGTGATACAGGATGTAGTGTAGAAGATTCGCTGGCCCCTGCTGATAGCTACGCAGAAGCCATCATCCACATGTAAGCCTTTCTGGTGGGCCAGCACCTTGGGATCATTCACATGCTTGTGAGTAACACCGACTTTGTGTTTTGCAGGTCAACCTAGTAAACTCATTGGTTTGCTAAGTCTGATTTTGGTTGTGCCGTAGCCTCGTCTGCCACTGGTACTTTCTGTAGTTGTTATGTAATATAACAGTTATATCAGTATACGTAAATGAAATATACTGAGCATGAGACCATGTGTCCCACACTGCTTATGATCTATGCAAACATAATTTTATTAATCAATTGTTTTCATTGAATTCCAGGAGACTGGTCCAGGAAAATTAAGTTATTGTTCTTCATAGGAATTTCTCAATAGGATTATTTTTTCAGTAAGTAATTTATATCCCTAGAGTTTTTTTAACTTGTCATCTTCAAATCCTTGATTTCTTCCTTCCACCACCCTGAAATAGTATATCCTGATGATCACCCAGACTTGACTAAGTGCCACATAAAAATATCAATCTAATTTCCCTTGCCTGAACACAGTCAAAACTGTAGAGCACTCGTTCTCAATGTGTGGAACATGATCCCTTTAGTGATCTGTATCAGATATCCTACATATCAGATATTTACATTACAATTCATATCAGTAGCAAAATTACAGTATGAAGTAGCAAGAAAATAATTTTATGGTTGGGGGTCACCACACCATGAGGAGTTGTATTAAAGGGTGAGAACCACTGTTCTGGAGTTTGTGTTTTCCCATATCATGATAAGCAATACTTTCAGCTCTGTCCTATTGATGAGATACATTTGAGATATTTAGGAGATAATAGTGTCTAATATGCCTCACTACATACATTCTGTTATCCTCTTCTTTTTCTTCTTCCTGTAGATCACCCTTTACTATTCACTCTGGTACAGAGCAGTTACAAATGTTATAATGCGGAAAAATTGAACTAAATGTTACTTAATATCACAAGAGGAAGTGCTATGAAAGCTAAAATTTGGGAGTATCTTGAAGTGCTTCTGAAACTTTGAAAGTAAGGGCAGTGTGAAAATTTTTGAAGTGGCATCAACATGGCTTGGTTCCATCTTTGAGGTTTCTCTAGGCAGCAGAGCTCTGGACCTGAATGCCTTGCGATAATATACTTGAATATATTTGCATATCTAGAAAAAGATTAGGGCAATCCAAAAAGAATTGGTTAGTCTTAGAAGAAAGAAAACATGGCAGGTTTTGACAGACAGAACTAGAGGGAACCTTTGCCAAGACCCCTGGCAATGTCCGTATTGTGAATGTGAATACAGGGAGCTTTGCCTCCGTAATCCCTATGGTTTGGCCCTTCTGACAAGTCTGTCCCCATTGTGCGACCCCTGTGCCAACTGTGTTGGACTGGTGCCCCAGACACCCAACTCACTGCTCTCCCTTTATTTAAAGTCTGTGCCCTCCAGCCACCCTCCATTTATGATTCTGCTTTGCTCTCTGCCACAGAGAAATACTAAGCTACATACACAGTGCAGATATCCAAGTCCCTGTGACAAATGTGTTCTTCTGAATGCATTACAAACAGGAAGTCCTACTCTTAAAAAATTCTGATGACATATATGCAATGTAAAACTTAGTATCTTAACTTTTTAAGCATAAGTTTCAATGGCATTAACTGCATTCACATTGTTGTATAATCATTCTCCATAGCCCTTTATTCTTTCCTCTTTGCAAAAACATCAGCTACTTCCATTAAAATGTTCTCACTCTGCTATGGTCCTTGTTACCACCGTCTTTGTTAAGGCATATGTCAGAATTTCCTCATCAGTCTCTCTCTCTCTCTCTCTCTCTCTCTCTCTCTCTCTCTCTCTCTCTCTCTCTCTCTCTCTCTCGCTGCATGCTGCGCATGTGTGTATGTGTGTGTGTGAATAATGGTTTGCCATGGCATGTATGTGGACGTTCAAGGACAATCCTGGGTGTTGGTCCTTTCCTTCGACCTTGTTCTTTTTATCTTTTTATTTTTAAAATTATTATTATTTTATTTAGGTTAGAAACAATCTTGTTTCACATGTCAATCCCAGTTCCTTCTCCCTTCCCTCCTCCCCTACCCTTCCCACCAGATCCCCCAGTCCCCGATCCCCAGGGAGGGTGAAAATACCTTCTATGTTGTTTGAGACAGGATCGCTTGTTCATTGCTGTGTACATAATACTAGTTGTTGCATGTATTTTCAGGGGGATTCTACTGCTTCTGTCACTGTCTCCTGTCCCTCCATAGGAGTGCTAGGCTTACAGGTGCACACCGCTGTGTCTAGTTTTACATAGAATTGGGAATCTAAAGTTATTACCTTATGCTTGTGCACCAAACACTTTACTTACTGAACCACAAATTTGGTCCCAGAACTCCCTGTCTTTTAAAGACTAGTATCCCGTATTATATACCTCTGCCTCATTTTGATTCTAAAGATATATTTGCATTTGGATACTTGTTTTCTTTATGCTCTTTGGTTTATTATGATTAATGCTGCT